CCCCAGCTCAGACTGTTGGAGGGGCCCTGGGGTGGCAGGGCCAGCCTTTCAGTGAATCTTCTTCAAAGAACTTCTCTTCCTCTTTCTCTTATCTTTCTTATCAGCGGCCCTCCACTGGCAATCTCACAGAATCCATGTTGGAAGCCGCCCTTGGGGATCCTGGAGTCTAAGCCTTGACTCCACGCTGAGCTTCCATTAAATCTCTGAGTCTATAAATGGTGCCCGTTGGTTTCAGGCTTGCTGCTTTTCTGAAGGATGAGCATGACAGCATCCTCTTGCTTCCCCACAACCACTTGTGTACCAGGCCTCTGGGAGAGCACTCATTTTTTCTGCTCCAGAAAGGGTTTCCCAGCACAATTACAGGATGTTCTGCAGTAGAAAGATGTATTTTGGGTCACCAGTTCCAGATAGATTGATCTGTCTTTCTGTGCATAAACAGGCACAGCTACAAAGACTGCAGTGATGAACCACCTTTTAAGAGTCACTGGCTGGTGCTGCTGGCCTTGCCCCTGATTCCTACCCGACAAAGCTCAGCCCCATCAGCTCCATCAGTAAGCTCTAGACAGCTGGAACCCCCTCCTGACATTGATGGTGACCCCAGCGCCTATCCTTCCCTTCCCGTCCCTTCTGCAGTGTTACAAATATATAAAACAGAGGGGGCATTTTAGAGGGGGCCGTAGAGTCGGCAATTCGGGCAGTCTGTACCTTCCAAATACGGCAGGCAGTGGGAGAAGAAAGAGGGTGATGCACCTGGGAATTAGGATGAAAAAGGAAGCTTCGCCCTTGTCCTGAGCCTCAGCAATTCCAGACACCCCACGAGAAATGTCCCTTAGCCTCTCCCTTTACTCCAATAACACATTACAGGACTCTTCTGTGTCTCTCCTGGACCCAGCCGCTGGGGCTGTCAAGTTTTTTCCACACAGGGAGACACCCTTCTCCTCCAGGGCCCATTCTCCAGCCCTTCTCTGCTTTCTAACGCACCTAGAACCCCGTGTCCTTGCTGCTGCATGGATCTCCCACGGCTCTCTGCCCGCCGCACTCCAGAGCTCCCAGCTGCAGCTGGCAGGGCCTCAGCGCCCGCCCTGTGCCCTCCCTTCCTGAGGGCCACAGCAGGCCCTGCTTGCTGCCCTCATGGTGGCACTCCTGGCCCCAGTGCTCTCCAAGGCCTTCTCCGGGGGCACCTTCCTGCGAGGCCCAGCAGAGACCTGAGAGGGGCTGTGGACAAGGGCCTGCAGGGACAGCACCAGGCCCACTGGCTTCCCACTGGCAGCGGGCAGGCTTGGGCTGGAGATGTGCCAGAAATTCTTGCCTCTCAGGCTGCTGAGGCCCTGGCCCACGCTGCCCACAGCAGCTGTGGCTGCCCCATCCCTGGCCGTGTGGCCGTGCTCCACGCCAGGCTGCAGACGGCTTGGAGCAACCAGGCCTAGTGCGAGGTGTCCCTGCCCTTGGCAGCAGGGTTGCAACAAGACCATTTTTAAGGACCCTTCCAAGGCAAGCTCCTCTCTGATTCTGTGATCACAGGGGCCGGGGGCAGCTGGGCTTGATTTCTGGTTAGAACCAAGGCAGCACTGCACATTTGGCTGAGTTCAAGGCGACTCTTCACAAGCCCACATTCACCGCTTTTGACCTTTACCAATTTTATAGATCTGGTTAAGATCAATAAAGTCTTGCACGATCCAGGTTCTGGAATATTGTAGTTTATTGAATCAAGAGCAAAGCACTTTCCAGGTTGCTGCTCAAAAATGCACTGACTACAGAGCATCATTGCGTGTCCCCAGCAGTCAGAGACACGATCTATGGCTTTACTGCTACGTTAAAAATTATTCTTATATGCACTATATAAGATATAATAGTTATGTATGTTACAAATGTATCTCTTTCATGAAACTCTTTCCAGCTATAAATGTGCTAAGAGCATGAATACATATCACAACTTAGAGTGACACTAAATATTGGCTATACTGTATTCCTTAAACAAAATTACATATCCGACTGTTTATAAGCATGTCTTATCACGATGGAATAGTTACATAATCTGTATCGTTGATATTATTTCTATTGTTCTATCGGCTTTTATTATATTTTACTCTTACATATGATAATCTATACGCTTTCTTGCATATAATATGTATACACGTATATATCTATACAACTTAAAAATCTAGATCTTTACATATACAAAACATCAGGTCAGCTGCAACACAGTTGGTACAATGTTGACCTAAAGTTTTCCCATGCGAGAGCAAGGAGAAACACCGTCCATTATCTGATCCCAAACCTTGCCCGGGGATTGTGGAGTCTCTCTCCCAGAGAGAGTCAAGCACCTTGATCGCAACGCAATCCTTTGTAGTGCACGGCGGGAAGACCTGGCTGGAGCACCCCTGGATCAATTGATAGCACCAGTGGTCCTTTCAAACATTCCCTCATCTGGGATTCTGAGATCAGCATCTCTGCACAAGGTGAAGCTCTCAGAGGCAAAATGGACTCAAAGAAAGAGGTGGGAAAATAATCGCATTTTCCTCTTGCACGGTCCTTGATCTTTGTAGGCAACCTGGTCATCGCTGGATCCAGTGCTGGGGAGAATGATGAGACGACACTGCTGCTGCTGCTGCTGATGGCATAGTGCTGCTACGCAGCGTTTTCCCTTCCCCCTCTGTAGCCCACATTGTAGCCTCTTTTCCCATCTACTGAGAGCTGGTTCTCTGCCACCAGGTGTGAGCCTCACAAGCACAGCTCTGCGCAGGAGAACCCCTTTCACTGTTCATTTTTAAGGATCCGTTTGAACCACTGGTGCAGATCCACGTACTGGCTCATTGCCTGGGAGTGGGCAACCGGATCCATCACCAGGTCATGGAAGAGATTGCATGACCCGGCCATTAGGACCTCTGGGGGCAAACTGATCCCCTCAGGAAGCCTCTGGTTGCCCACAATGAAGTGATTGAGGCGTCTCACTTCCACACACGTGCGCAGGCTCTCGCTGATATCCATCAGCCGCCTCACAAAGTGTCTCCTGCGCCACTCTGACACGGGTAAGGCGTTCAGGAGGTGCATGACAATGGTCTTCATGGTATAGGTGGAGAAGCCTAAGCCCAGCTGAAGACGAGTGAAGAACTGCAGGCATTTCAGGTGCAAGCTGTCAGGGGGAGCCCGCCTGGCGATGTTCTGGAAGAACTTCATCTCGGCCACAGCGTAGCTCTCCGGCCAGACTGTGCTTGAGGTGTGGGCTTGCCTAGGCTGACTGCCTGCAAAGACATCTGAGTTGCCTTGCCCCACCCCAAAGAGCACCTCAATCCGGTAGCTTTCTGTGCCATTGGTCACCTTGAACTGGCAGGAGCGTCTGGAGGGCAGCAGCACTAAATGCCATTGGTGTGACTGAGGCAAAGCCGGCCAGATTGCTCTCACCAGTTGGTAGAACCAGCAGGCAGTTTTCTGCACGTCCAGGTAGCAGCCCGTGCACAGGGTCTCGAGGAGGCTGGGAGCCTGACACCTCCTCAGCTCCTCCTCAGGGTGGTGCAGGAAGCACAGCATGTCCTTATCCTGCTGCTCCCTCGTGCAGGTGCACTCCTGCTGCACGCGGATGTGCAAGTTCCTCAAGTGCCTCTGCCCTGCAGTGCCCAGCTCTAGGTGGAAGCTGTGCCCTCGGGGAGGTGTCATGGGTATGAGCACCTGGTACACAACATCCTGCTCACGGGGACTCCAACCTTCAAAGGCACTGCCTACCCCGATAGCTCCTTGCAGCACTGGGTAGAAACTGTCAGACAAGACCTCTCGAAAGTAATATGCAAAGTGCTCCATCAAGGTTGTTGTCCACGTGCATCCTTTTTCCAGGTCCTGCTCAGGCCACCGTATGCGCTCCATTATGATTCTTCCAAAGTTATCGGCACGATCACCGTATTCTTCCACTGCATTTCCAGCATCGTTGATGCTTGCTGCATTTGCAGCCTCATTGCCAGCTTCATTTGCAGCATCACGTTCTTCATTTGCAGCAGCATTGTCGACTTCCTGTGCATTGTCGTCATCATTTCCTTCTTCATGCTCCTCTCTGCTCAGGCTCCTTTTCCTCCACATATACCACAGTGCCAAGAGAAGGAGCAGGAGCCCAGCAAGAGCCCAGACGTGCCAGTGCTGCCAGGCAGAGCAGAGCAGATCTCCCCAGACACCCTGCTTCAGGGCCAGCTGCTCCACCTCCCGCTCCAGACGAATCCTCTCCTCTTCCTGGAGCTTGGCACGCGCCTCCATTCGCAGATGTGTCGCCTCGTCCAAGCCATCACCCACGGGCTGTGGGTACTGGACTACGCTTTGCAAGAGCAAGAACCACAGTACCCAGGTATCCATGGTCTGCAAGAGGATGGAGAGAGGAGGCCTTGAGAGAGGCTGTGAGGGAGGCAGCTGGCATTGGGGACAGCAGGGACGGGAATCCCAGGGATCTGGGAGCAGGAAGGCCAGGACCCCAGAGAGCTGGCAAGAAGCCAGGCCTGTTCTGTGCGCCAGCAGCAGCTGCAGCAGCAGCAGCAGCTGCAGCAGCACGGTGCCCTGCCCAAGGCTCTGCCATGAGGGGCTGTCCCTGCACGCAGGGGGAAAAGCCAGCCCCGGGTGCAGCAATTCTTGCCCAGCCCTTGCCCCCAGCCCAGCCTCCCCGCCACGTGTGCACTCACCGCTTGCCCAAGCAAAACAGGGCCAGCGTTACCTGCTGGGGCCTTGTGTAGCTGCCCCCATTGTGACATGGCCCCATGATGTCATGGATGGTGCAGTACACCAGAGCCAGCCCAGCCCCGCCCTTTGTCCCCACCCCAGCTCAGACTGTTGGAGGGGCCCTGGGGTGGCAGGGCCAGCCTTTCAGTGAATCTTCTTCAAAGAACTTCTCTTCCTCTTTCTCTTATCTTTCTTATCAGCGGCCCTCCACTGGCAATCTCACAGATATCCATGTTGGAATTCACTCTTGGGGATCCTGGAGTCTAAGCCTTGACTCCATGCTGATCTTCCGTTAAATCTCTGAGTCTGTAAAAGGTGCACATTGGTTTCAGGCTTGCAGCTTTTCTGAAGGATGAGCCTGCAAAACTGAATGGCTGTGCAAACCAAACTCTCTTTTGTGCAGGAGTAACATCATGCACAAGTAGAGACAGTAGGAGCTCTTCCTTCTCTTGCTAATGTACTGCATTTCACATCCAAAGGGCATAATTTGCTAGGAGAGTAAATATTTTGCATGTTTTCTGACTGCAGTCCTGAGTATTTTTACTGTTTGGGAAACCTAGAAAAAGAGTTAGCTCTTTCCCTTAGTGTGATCCTTTGTTAGGTATCTTGGTGGTGCATCCCCCTCCTGTTTGGTCTGCACTATGATCTCAGAGAGACTGAAACCCTCATTTACAACAGATTTTAAATGGCATGTGCCTGGGTTTCTTTGCTGTAATTCCATGTGGTGTTATATAGTCCCTAAAAAACATCCTTTTTCTCCCTTCCGCCAAATACATTTAAAGAAAACAGATTTTCAGCTCCTTATTCCATCAATGCTTGAGAAGAGGTCTTCAGTCTTCCATCTTAGTAAGAACTCAATTACCACGCCTCCTACTCTGACCAGGAGAGGTGAAAATAACTCTTTAAGGTATCTGGAGTATTTTTACTGAAATCAACAGCCTGAGATAAAATCTCAGTTGGATCCCAAGTGTCCGCTGGGCTGCAAGGAAGTGGGGAGTATCTCACGAGTGTGTTGCTCTCCTACTGAATTCAAGAAAGTTCTCAGCTTATATTTAATGTAGAAGTTGAGGAAATTAATAAATTGAAAGCAAGACAAAGAAGAATGTACAGCATTTGATGTGAAACTGGGCTTGCCCTGATCTCATTCCCAAGCTGTAATGTGGCTTCATGTTCATAAAATCCATCCCAGTTTTGCTCAAAGTTTTATGAACTTCCTTCAGCCTGGGAATTAACTCACTTTTCAGCCAGACAACATACCCTGATAGACAGTGTATGAGTGGGAGGATGGATATGTGGCGTTGACATAGTTTTTCATATCTGCTTCAAGTAATATTTTAGAAAACAAGAACATTAATAACAGCTTGAAAAACTAACTTCAGAATCAACCTTGTTCAGCATAGCTTGGTTCTAATATCTGCAGCCCAAAGGTGGTGGGAGTTTGTGTCTTTGGTGCCACAGCCTGGAAACTGAAAGTGAATATTCTGAATGCACCCACAGAGGGATCTGCTTCTTGGCACTCAACTCTTCCTCAATAGCTGAAAATTCCACAAGTGAGATTGCATATTTTTGACCAATTTATTTCTGATAGAGGACAAAATGTCACTGTCAAATATGATGAAGAAAACCCCAGTTATGTTTACCAAGGAAATAACCAGTACAGAAGTCAGAAAATTAAGGCTGTGGGAATTTTCTCAGCCTAGTGGTAGTAGTGGAAACTCCAAACAGGCAGGATGTTTCCAGCTTATACCTCACCTCTCATAGCTGCTCTGTCAGATTGTTCTTTCCTGATGCCAGTAATCAGATCAACTGTAGTTTAGGGCTGTATATTTTCTCCTCTCTCCCTCTCTCTCTCTCTGCCTATACATGATGTTAAAGACAGCAGTGGTGCTGCTGTACTTGCTAAACCCCAAAGTAAAAGGACTCCCTGTTGTGTTCCTGGGGTGCTGGGCAGTGCTGCTTTGTGCTGCTTTCCAGCAGTGTATGTGGCTTGGGAGCCATGGAACCCCTGGATAGATAGCATGGAAATGGCATGTCTGGAGTGCCATGACAGCTGACATATGTGGGCACAGCTCAGCCTGTGAAACAGGCTGTGCTTATGCATATTCCTCTCCTGATTAAATGTAAACTCATTATGTAAATGCACAGGCTTCACAGAGCATTTTCATTTGCGGGAGGTTTTCTTTGGTAGATCATAAATCTACCATGTTAAAAATCAGCCAGTGTATAAACTATGTCAAATCCTTCATGCAATGAAATAATTTTCAAAATTATATTCATTGTCATTAGGGGAATTTTTCCACCAAGAAATAATTTTTCTAATGACATGACTCAACAGAAAAAAGAAGCAGTTCCAATAATAAGTCATCATTCCTATGCAAGAGCTGATTGGAAAGTCAAAAGACAAGAGTTCTGTAATGTTGTAAATGACTGAATTTTGAATTGCAGAAAAACTATTTTTGACCGCTACAAAACAAGCTGGCTGGTTTTTTTTTTCAGGTTAATGTGTAAAGTGTATTAAAACTGTTGCATCCTGATTGAAAAGGAACTGTAGGTTCTTTTAATTATTGCAGGAAGAAAGGTTGTCCTTCAGAGATTTTTTTCCTAAAACTGCAAAAATATAAATTTTCTTGCAAGTGTCCCTTTGCTGCAATTTCCTGCAAAATGTTGGCTTTCAGCATACTTAAGAGACCATATTGCAAAGCACACAGGAAATGCTGATTTTCTTGCTTATAGAAGATCAGTGACTGCTTTGGGGTCTTTTTTAACAGACTGGGACACAAGTGGTTTTCCCTGAGAAGGGAGAGGGGGAAGCCAGGAAGAGGACCATGACTGTCGCTGAGCTCTAGAGCAATCTTGTACCATCCTGAAGATGAGAACTCATTGTTTTCTTCTTTCCTTCTCAGTGTATTGGGACACCTTGGCTCAGACTAAGGCACAGCTTAGTGTGGTTTCAGATGAAGAGCAAAAATAATATGTGGTGGGCAAAATGAAATGGTTTGGTGGTTGGGCCAATGGCTCAGGTTAAATGAGGGTTTTCCACACTTGAAAGGAATTTCAGATTCAAGTGTGAACACAAATTGTGAAAAGGTCATTTTTTGAAGCAATACCCATGCAGGTGTTCTTGTTCTCTAACAGGTGTGCACATTTTGGTATTGATTAATCCTCTTGGAAATTATGCTATATTTTGTGTGTAAAGAATGAGAGCATCCAAAAAAGCTGCTGCTTAAGAAACAGCTACAGCACAAGGGCTTCTTTGGCTGGAGTCCTGCTGCAGATGGGCACATGCAACTTTCCTGGAGTCTCTTCTGGAGAGCTGATTCCTGTGTTTTTCCCTGCTCCCAGCACACACCCGACACACAAGAGAGTTAATTGTCTGAGCTATCCCTGGGAAGTTGCTAAGCAACATCACTGGGTCTCAGCATCAGCTCTGCCATCAGGCACTTCTGCTGCCACAGGATGCCTCTGGTTCAGCAGATGATTCTGCATTCCAGCAGGGAAATGCTCAGAAAAATTAACTCACCTCCTCAGATCCCACAGTCCAATCCAGCTCACCTAACCAAAATAATTTAGTAATTTAATTTTTGTAATTTTACTCCAGCTGCTTAAAAATTATTCCCAGACAAATATTTCTGTAGTAAGACCAGTTTATTCCATTAACAGCCAATCATTTCAGATGTTTAAACCAATCACTCCTACTTGAGATGAGCTGATTGCCTTTATGATTTTAAGGTATTATTGTAGTAAGTGAACATATATCTTGACATCCCATGAGGCTGAAGCAGGGTGAACACCTATTCAGTCACTGCAGTTATGCTTCCCAGAACTGAGCCTGAGATTTTCCAATATTATCACAGATTTTTTCAGCCTGGCATCACAATCAAAGCCAAGGCTATTGGACAGCTTGCAACCTTTGGGTAAATCGAAAAGTCTTACAATCATTAAAAACACAAGGCTGTGTACTCCTGTTACCACAACCTGATTACAGATCAAGAATTTTGGGCTACATCATCTGCTCTTAATGGAGCATGTGCTCTGCGGAGTTTGCCCTCTGTGTGTAGGATTCAAGTCCTGAATACCCTTGAGACAGCAGCAAAACTCCTAATTAGTAATGGAATCCATTGTTGTTGTGGTGCACTAGTTTTAGCTGTTCTCTTGCACTGGGTGATTGGGAATTTGCACAGAATAGTTTTATATTGCACTGTACAGCTTATGTTACATTATGTGGTTTGTTACCCCTTTCCTCTATCACATGGTCTTTCCCTCACCTATCCCAGTACCACCTGGTGGTCTCTTCCCTGGGTTACCCCTCCCTTCGCCACTCCTCACTGGTATCCCATTGGCTGTGGACCTCTCCCTCTGTCCCCATTCCCCCTGAGGTATAGAAGCTCCCTGCCACCCAGGAATGCTCTTTTTCTCCCATGGGTTTGTCCACCTGATGTGTGTCTTGGAATAAAGGACAACATTTCCCATGTGCAGGAGAGCGCTTCTCAATCTTTTCCCTTCATCTATGAAGTATCATGTGGGCAAGGGTCTATAGCTAGCCAGAGTGGACCCCAACAGCCCAGGAAACTCGATTCTTCACATTCTTATATCTATTCTCAGAACAAATAATTCTAGGGCTGCCAGAGGTAATAAAAATGACATTTTTATGGCTTAGTGTCCTGCAGTAGTTTTGAGGTCTGACTGAAGACAATGGCACTTAGTGGGTTTGCTTTCTGTGTCAATTCTCTGTCATCAAGCTAAGTAAAAGTCACACTGCAACTTCTCTCCCTTGCCAAGAGATTCATACTCTCTTGTTCTTTTTTCTCACTGTGCTTAAAAAACTTGTAGAAACCTAATTATTGGTCAAGTTTTGCTGAACTTGGACCCCTTAGAAGCTACCGGTGAAAAGATAAGACAAACAAGCACTCAAAAGCTATGATTAAAGAAGTCTCTTTTCTTTAGGGAAGCAGCCTTAGCAGGCAGTCTTAGTAACTCCATAGAATCCATTCTTGTCCATGTTCCCAGGCTATCAAAAGTACGT